TTTAGACCACTGAGCCATCTCACCAGCCCCTCTAAACTTTTTTTTTGTGTGTATATGTTTTTTTTTTTTTTTTTTTTTTTTTTTGTGTTTGTGGGGGGGCAGCTCAGCCCACCAGGGGGCGGGGCTGGCTGGCATGTGGTGCTGGGGGATTGAACCGTGGTCCCTGTGCTTTGCTAAGCTTGTTCTAAGTAGGTGCTTTAGACCACTGAGCCATCTCACCAGCCCTGTGTGTATATGTTTTTATTTACAGTGTTGGTGATGGAACCTCAAGCACTTTTCACTGAGCTACATCCCCAGGGTCTTGCTAAATTGCCTAGATGGGGCTCAAATTTGGAACCCCTGTGCCTCAGCTTCTCAGAGTGCTGGGATCACCAGTGTGTGGCACCGTGTTAGGCGTTGATGATGAAATAGTCTTTAAGTGTTCATCGTGGGTTTTGACAAGAGTACTTTATGTGAAGGTGTTTTATAATCTAGCTAATACCAGGGACAATCCAAGGCTGATTAGAGATTTCAGAGCTCCACATGATTGTACTTGTAGAACTTTGAAGCTGAGGCCAGAAGCCCTCAAATTTAAGGCCCACCTAGATTTGATAAGGGTGGGAGAATAAGCACTTGCCTGGCAAGTGCAAGGGACCTATGTGAATGTGGGGCTGGAGTTTCCATGTCTCCTTCTCGATTTCCCTCCTAATATATCAGAGGTCAGTTTCATCTGTTACCCTGAAAATAGGTATTGTGGCCCCCATCATATACATGGGGATCTGAGCCAAAAAGGTCTTTACTTTTCAAGGTCCTCTGTAACTCAAGCCCTTGGCCTTCTCACCCTGATGGTCTTCCCCAGCTCACTGTGAGCACGAGGGCTGCAGTGCTGTTGCCCACAGAAGGCTCAGAAATGGGCCCTGGGGTCTCTTGCTCTTTCTAGCTGCAAGCTTTCTTCCTGGTGACAGATGATATAATGGACTCATCCCTTACACGGAGGGGACAGGTCTGCTGGTATCGGAAGGTAATGTGGCCAAGGACAGGCCCTCCCTGGGGAGGTGACTGCATACAGCCGGTGGTGGTGTCTGGGGGTGATAATTCTAGGTAGAAATAAAGGGCAGAGATGAATGATTTGTTTTCTGGTGCCCTAAAAGCCAGGAATAGGTTTGGACGCTGTCAATGACGCTCTCCTTCTGGAAGCCTGTATCTACCGCCTGCTGAAGTTCCACTGCCGGGAGCAGTCCTACTACCTGAACCTGCTTGAGCTCTTCCTGCAGGTGCGCCACTGGCCAGCACCTGTGCCCAGAGGCTACCACAGTGGCCTTGGTCTCTAGGATGTGCTCATCTAGATTGCCCAGAAGAGGAAGACGGGGGAGGGCTGGGAGCGTGGTGGTAGGAACAGCTCTGCCCCTACCACCAGGAAGATGGGAAGATGTGATAAGGGACCTGCATTAACATGGGGCTGGAGTTTCCATGCCTCCTGCTCGATTTCTGATTCCCAAGTTGTCACTTAGGATTTGGGGCGTGGGATGCAAGGCCCCGGATGTCAGTGTTCTTGTATCTGGAGAAATCCTGACTATGTCTCTTTCCTTTAGACTGCCTATCAGACAGAGGTCGGGCAGACTCTGGATGTCATCACAGCCCCCCAGGACCATGTGGATCTCAGCAAGTACACTGAAAAGAGGTGAGCCTTGTGGGAATCAGATCTGGCCAATGAGGAGGGTGCAGAGTGGATGTTACCTTCTGAGGGGTTTATCTTGTTCCAATACTCAGGTACAAATCTATTGTCAAGTACAAGACAGCTTTCTACTCCTTCTACCTGCCTGTTGCTGCTGCCATGTACATGGTGAGTCAGCCTCCTCAGCCACACTGCCTGACTTGGGCTTTGGGACAAAAAGGCACAGAGTAAATAGCTGGGACAGTCAAGTACCCCACTGAATGGTTGTCTCACCTTGAGCAAGTCACTTAGTCTCTGTCCTTGAACTTATTATGGGGCTGGTGAGATAGCTCAATGGCATAAGCGCTTGCCTGGCAAGCACAGCGTCCTGAGTTCAATGACTGGAACCACAAAAAAACCCCACAAAAAACAACAACCAAAAAACCTCACTATGTAGCATAGGCACTGCGATTCTCCCGCCTCACCCTTCTAGGTGCCAGGATTACAAGTGTGCACTGCTATGGCCAGCTTTGAGTGTTTCCTCAGCTGTAAGATCAGATCAGATCAGATTCCTGCCTACAGGATTGTAAAGATTAACCTGGCACATGAAAGCCCTTAGCTTCTCATCGGAGCACAGTGCATCCTGTATCTGAGTGTGGACAGGAGTGAGGAGCAGATCATTCAGGCTGAGAGGAAGGCTGGATTCAAAGGCTGTCAGAGGCATCAACTGCCTATCCTAAACTTTGCTTCCTGAAAGATGCTGGAGGTGGCAAAAAGATTAGGAAGAAGGTACAGAGTGACAGAGGCACACATGGCCTCCAGAACGGTTTCATCTGGAACCCACACCCGATGGAGGAATTCCAGCCCAAATAAGTGGCAGAGAGGCTGGCATGTTGGTCAGGACTTCTGGATCTTGGAGGGCAAGGAAGTTTGGAAGGAGGGATCCTTGAAGGCTGTCATAGGGCAGGACCCCGTGGGGGGCAGCAGGAAGGTGAGGCAGCATAGTGCTTGTTCCCCCTTCCCCGCAGGCTGGTATTGACGGGGAGAAGGAGCACAGCAATGCCAGGAAGATCCTGATGGAGATGGGCGAGTTCTTCCAGATCCAGGTAGGATGAAGGCTGTGGCAGGGAGTGTGCCTTGGTTGTTTTCCTGCCCTGCTTAGGAACCCCTCATCCTTCCTTTGCTGCCTCCATCCAGGATGATTTCCTTGACCTCTTTGGGGACCCCAGTGTGACGGGAAAGATTGGCACCGATATCCAGGATAATAAATGCAGCTGGCTGGTGGTTCAGTGTCTGGAGCGAGCCACTCCGGAGCAGCGCCAGATCTTGCAGGTGCCCAGAAGCAGGCCTGGGATCTTTGGACTGATAAGGGGGGTGGACACTGGGAGTGGTAGTACACACCTTATTCCAGTACTTTAGAGGCTGAGGCAGGAGGATTTTTTTTTTTTTGAAGTTGTATTGGGGGGCTGGTGAGATGGCTCAGTGGTCTAAAGCACCTACTTAGAACAAGCTAAGCTAAGCAAAAGCACAGACCTTGGTTCAATCCCCAGCACCACATGCCAGCCAGCCCCGCCCCCTGGTGGACTGAGCTGGCCACACACACACTAAAAATAGAAAGAAAGAAAGAAAAAAGAAAGAAAGAAAGTTAAAAAAATATTTTTTTTTTTTTTTTTTAAAAAGTAGTAGTAGTACTGGGGTTGAACTCACGATCTTGAGCTTGCCAGGCAGGCGCTTAGCTGCTGAGTTTTCTCCCTGGCCTCCCAGGAGGATCATTTTGAGGCCAGCCTGAGCTCCATAATGAGTTCAAGAGCCTGGGGCTGCTTTCAGAAAACAAAAAAACAAGGTGGAGCAGTGGTGCTAATCAGTTGAGTCTGGGTCATCTGACGACATAATTTTTGTCATAACTTGAACACATGTGCTACAGGTGGGTAGAGATGAGGGATGCTGCCACACAGAATAGCTCACCCAAACCATGATCTGGCTTAAAATCTTAACATTGTCAAGGTTGAGGAACCCTTGGAGCAAGGTGGGCCTGAGTCAGTGTCTGAGCCTTTGGGCTGGGGGAGAAGCTGGTGAGCTGAGGCTGCTGAGACTCGAAAACCAGGCGTTCTAGAAATTATGGATGAGGGAGCATAGAGGTCTTGAAGGCTCTGGCGAAGGCTGAGGCCACGGTTTTGCCTTCGATGCTTCTCAGGAGAATTATGGGCAGAAGGACGCGGAGAAAGTAGCCAGGGTGAAGGCGTTGTACGAGGAGCTGGATCTGCCGGCTGTGTTTTCGCGGTATGAGGAAGACAGCTACAACCACATCATGAACCTCATCCAGCAGTACGCTGCACCGCTTCCCCCAGCCATCTTCCTGGCGCTGGCAAACAAGCTCTACAAGCGGAAAAAGTGACCTGGAGACTACAAGGGCAGGGAGGGGCTCAATAAATTATCGTGTAACTATGGTGCTTCTGTTTCTGCTCCTGCACAGGAGCCAGACTCTGTCCCAAATCGGGCAGTTAAGTGGGGCAGGTGGCTGTGCAGCAGCCAAGCCTAGGGCCGGGGACGTTGTCCTCCAGCCCCTTGGGAGAGTGAAGCCTCTGAGCTGGGTCTGAGTAGGTGACTGGTATGACGTCAAGTGCGGAGGGCGGGCCTGAGGTCTGCCGCGCCCTTGCGTGAAGGGATGCGGCTGCGCATCTGAGCGGGTTGCCCTAGCGCCCCTCCCCTTAGTCCTGTACCCCGCCGGGCGGGGACCGCGAGAGCCACCAGCCCGAGGCCGGAGCGCTTCCGAGAGGACTCCCGGTGAGGATGGCTAGCTCGGCCTGCCGATGTGAATGGGTGGGGCAGGGGAGGGAAGCCTTAAGATGAATAGCGAAGGGGTGGGGCAGTGGCTGGATGATGGAGACCAGCACTGAGAATAGCCCCGGATTCCGCTGAGCGAGGGGTGAGGGTGCGGATTGCAGACCACAAAGGTGCAGATCCCGAGGCCGGGATGAAGGTTCCCTCTCCTTTCCCCACCCCAGCCCCTTTTTTGCATTCACCTGGTCCAATTCACTTAGAAGCACTGGGGCGGGGTATTCCTGGGGTTCCCCTGGGAACCAGGGAGTGGAGGGACCCTGCTGGAGGGCAGAGTCAGATGGCTGCAGAAGGGATGGGGTTGCTGTGGGGCCCCTCCTCTTCCAAGCTCAGAACCGCCAAGGAGAGCCAGAGCGCAGCCGCATTCTCTGACCCGCCCTTCTCTGTTCCCCGGGGTTTACATTCAACCCCACCTGCAAACGCTGCAGTGAAAACTAATGGCCAGTCAAGGGCGATTTGCATCTCATTTAAAATATTCCAAAGCAGCCAGGGCCTTCCCAGGCCCGCGCCCGCTGTCGCTGTCGGTCACCTCGGTGTCCTTCTTGCGGCCCGCGCCCTCCCTGGCTGGCTTCATTCCTCTTGTCTTCCAGGACTGCATCTGCGTTGCCCAGGTAGGTGGATGTGAGAGGCCCGGTCCTGTTGGTTCTCCAGAGGCCACCCTGTCGGTGCGGGCACCATGCTGTCTCCTCAGAGGGCCTTACTCTGCAACCTCAACCACATCCACCTCCAGCACGTCTCTCTGGGTCTGCACTTGTCCCGCCGGCCGGAGCTAAGGGAGGGGCCTTTGAGCACTTCCCCTCCCCCAGGCGACACCGGAGGCAAGGAGAGCAGCGGCCCCTGCAGCGGGACCCTGGTAGACGCCAACTCCAACAGCCCAGCTGTGCCCTGCCGATGCTGCCGGGAGCATGGGCCAAGCCTAGAGAATCGGCCTGACCCGTCACAGGAGGAGGGTGCGGCCTCTCCCTCTGACCCCGGCTGCTCATCTTCGCTCAGCTCCTGCTCTGACCTCAGTCCGGATGAGTCCCCCGTTTCCGTCTACTCTCGGCACCTGCCTAACGAGGAGGATGCTCAGCCCCAGCCCAGCATCGTCCCCTTGGACCAGGGCTCCCCACTGGCTTTGGCGGGCCCGGGCACCTGTTCCCCAGACAGCTTCTGCTGCTCTCCCGATTCTTGTTCCGGAGCGTCCTCCTCGCCCGGGCCTGGCCTCGACTCGAACTGCAACGCCCTGACCATTTGCCAGGATCTCCCTTCCCCGGGCCTGGAGGAAGAGGACGACAGCGGAGAGCAAGATCTCCCCACCTCCGAGCTGTCCGAGGTGGAGGATGGGAAAATCGATGCCGAGAAAACAGAGCCCAGTTGGAAAATTAACCCCATTTGGAAAAGTGATACCGATAAAACTGACGCTGCATGGAAAGTCACTGAGAACAATAACTCTGGTTGGAAAATCAACGGAAATCCTAACTCTGGCTGGAAAACGGAACCTGGACAATTCAGTGGTTGGAGCAGCAACACAGGAATAACCGATTCTGGCTCGAAAACAGACGCTGGGAAAACTGAGGCGGGATGGAGGAATGACGTTAGCGAGGAGCCGGCACCCCACCGGACCATCACATCCTTCCACGAGCTGGCCCAGAAGCGCAAGCGGGGCCCGGGGCTGCCCCTCGTGCCGCAGGCCAAGAAGGACCGCAGCGACTGGCTCATCGTATTCTCGCCCGACTCCGAGTTGCCCCCCAGCGGATCACTGAGCGGCTCCTCTGCAACTCCCCGCGAGACCACTACCTTCAAGGAACTCAGGTCCCGCAGCCGCGCCCCGCCCCCGCCGGTGCCGCCCCGGGATCCTCCGGCTGGCTGGGCCCTGGTCCCGCCCCGCCCTCCGCCCCCACCAGTCCCTCCCCGAAGAAAGAAGAACCGGCCGGGGCTGCAGCCCATTGCAGAGGGGCAGCCCGAGGAGGGAAGGGCGGCGAGCCCCGCGGCGGGCGAGGAAGTCCCAGCCGCGCAGGAGGTAGAGCAGCCCGGCGCGAGAGCGGACTCGGAGGGTAAGGGGGCCAGAGGAGGCGGTGGAGGGCGGGCCTCCCTCGGCCTCGCCCACGCCTCCAAGCTTCCCACCCCGCCCCATCTCCCTGTCACTCGGCGTCACCTCCCCTCCCTGCCCCTTCTGTCTGGGAGCACTCGGGGAAGGGAATTGGGTGGGGCCACCGGCTGGGGACTAACTCTCTGCTCCCTCTTTCTCCCGCTCCTCCTTGCCTGGCTGCGCGTCCCGCTGTCCTCCTTCCCCTCTGTGCCTGGCCCTGCCTTTCCCGCCTGCAGCCGGTCCCCTCCTGCTCTCGGGGCCCCAAGTTTTCCGGTTCTCGGCCGACGGGCGCCCCCTGTTGGAGGGTGGGGGCACGGGCGCAGCTGGGTCCTTGCTCCTGGCACCTCTGGCCGGGTGGCCCGGCGCCCGGCTGCGGCTGCTGGGGGGACAGAGCTCCCCCGAGGAACAGCTGCTTCCGGCCCGCCTGTCCCCAGTGGGAGCGTATTCACCCCCTACTCGCGGTGCCCTGCCCTGCCTGGCCAGCCCCGAGCTGGCGCTGCTGCTCTCCCCGCTCTTCCCCAGAAGTAGCACCTTCCCCGCCGCGTCCCCCCCGCCCCGCCAGGTGCCCGCCCCCCCGCCACTTCGGCCACCGCGTCCTCAGAAGGCCACGCGCTGGACCTGGAGCCCGCCGCCTGCGCCCAGGCTACGTAAGACGGACCCAGCTCGCCGGCAGCCTCGCCAGGCGCTCCTCCCGCCCACGTCGAGGCCCCGCCCACCCTCGCCCAGCTTTCCCTTGTAGCTTTTTCCAGGGTACACAGCTGGGTCCCACCTTTCTAGTCAGGCAAATGCCAAACAACCTATTTATTCCCGGGGAGTCTGGGTGGGGTTACTGCGCTCCTCCCTGGGTGCACGTCACTCTCCAGGCCCACTCTGGACACAGACTTGCCTCGGCAAAGCCGTAGTGGAGGCTGCAGCCCAAGCACATTTGGGCCCTGGAGGTTCCGGTCCCACCCCACCAGGTTTTCTCTTTCCTGCTCCTTGCAGCCTGCAGACCTGGGCTCAGCTCCCTCGTCCTCCGCCCTGGCCCCTCTGTCTGTCCATTGGCCCCGGCTCCCCACGTGTTTCCCTTCGTTTGCGGCCCAGTCTCCTCTCGCCTTCTAGCCTCAGCCCGCAGGGCTGGGACTTCCCGGGCTCCCGGGGAGGCCCAGGTGGGGAGGTGGGGCCTGCGCCCTGAGGGAGGGGCCTGGAAGCCGAGCTGGGGGCCGGCGCTGCTGAGACAGAGCAGGGTTTCACGTCGGCTGGGCGGAGATTTCCGTGCTCCTCGAGGCCCTGTCCCCCGCTCTCAGGAGTCCTTGCGACAGGTCCCTGTGTGGGCGCTAGCGACCTTCGGCACCCTTGGTAAGGTCGCTCTGTCCTTCTTCCCTCATCCAGTACGTAGTTCCTGGTCATTCGCCGGTGTCCCCGGGGCCCAGCGCCTGTGGATGGCAGAAGCCCAGAGTGGAACTGGGCAACTGCAGGAGCAGAAGAAAGGTCGGTTGAGCTGACTCCTGACCTCCCAGGCGGGCGTCCTGTGGGCTTTAAGAGTCTGATGGCACAAACCGAGCTCCTTGGTGCATCTGACTGGTGTTTTTGAGGTCTTCTCTTCCTGGCCCTCCCCAGGTCTCCTGATAGCTGTCAGCGCCTCAGTGGACAAAATCATCTCGCACTTCGGGGCTGCCCGGAACTTGGTTCAGAAGGTAAACGTGGCAGGAAGAACGGTGCTGGGGATGTGAAGATTCATGTAGTCGGTGGTGCTGGGGTAGGAAGCATTAGTGGGTGTTGGTTGGACAGTCGCAGGACCCCCACTCGTGTCACGCCGCCTCCAGGCCCAATTGGGAGATAGCCGGCTGAGCCCGGATGTGGGGCACCTGGTGCTGACTACCCTTTGCCCGGCCCTCCACGCCCTGGTGGCTGATGGACTGAAGCCTTTCCGGAAGGACCTCATCACTGGGCAGCGCAGGAGCAGCCCCTGGAGCGTAGTAGAGGCATCTGTGAAGCCAGGTGAGCGGAGAGGGCCTGAGTCTTGTGTGAGCAGGGCCGGGCCCTTGCTGACTGTGCCTCCTGTCTACAGGGTCTAGCACGCGGTCCCTGGGATCCCTGTACAGCCAGGTCAGCCGACTGGCGCCCCTGAGTAGTAGCCGCAGCCGCTTCCATGCCTTCATCCTGGGCCTTCTCAAGTGAGTGGCCAGTACGGCATCGTGGGGGACACAGTAGTGATGGTGTATGTACCTATAGAAGTCCCCATGATCACTCTTCATTCTGTAACCCTAGAAGGCTGCAGACCTCCACCTCCTCAAACTTGCCCTCTTTTCCTTTCTCTCTCAGCACCAAGCAGTTGGAACTGTGGTTTTCCAGTCTCCAGGAAGATACAGGTCAGGAGCTCGGATGGAGTAGGGAGAGGGGAAGGGATCCTTCCTGCTGGCTCCCACTGGTCCCAGAATATGAATCCAGATCTCTGATTTTGTTATGCTTTCTTCTTAGAACTTCCAGGGAAGACAGACTCAAAGCCTTGTCTGACCCCTGTCTTCTTCCCCTGCCTGAGGTGCGGGGCTTTCTTGTCAAAAATTTTCCTGTCTGGTCCTCTTGTGGCCCAGGGCTGTACTTGATGCAGTGTTGCCCTTTTACCTTGAATAGGCTTCCCTGCACCTCCTGCCTGTTCACTGGCTTTCATCCATCCTGTGGGCTTTCAGTGAGGCTCCTGAGGCTTCCTGCCTCTTTCCTATAGTCCTATTATTCCTGTTACCACCACTTGCTCCAGAAGCCATAGGCCACTTGAGCAGAGATGTCTCAGTCCTGTGGCTGTCCATATCCCCAGCTCAGAGTGAAGCCTAGGGAGATGTTTGTTTACTGTGGCACTGAAGTGGGTGGTCCTCTGGACCTGGGCTCAGGGTGGGAGGTGATGTAAGCCTCTCTTTCCCAGGCCTGCTATCCCTTCTGTATCTGCCCACGGGATTCTTCTCTCTGGCTCAGGGTGGCTGCCCATCCCTGTCCACAGAGCTGCTGCTCCTGCTGCAGCCACTGTCGGTGCTCACCTTTCACCTGGACCTGCTCTTCGAGCACCATCACCACCTGCCCCTGGGCCCACCTCAGGCTTCTGCCCCTGCAGTCCCACCTCCGACCCTGCAGCAGACTGTACAGGCCATGCTGCACTGGGGGGGTCGGCTCGCTCAGAGTCTCCGGGGGGCTTCTGGGGAGGCTGCTCCCGATCCTGCCCCTTTTAGTCCTCCTACATCAGGAAGCTGGTGGGAGCAGCTGACTCAGGCTTCCCGGGTCTATGCCTCTGGGGGCACAGAGGGTTTCCCTCTTCCCCGGTGGGGACCCAGGCGTCATGGAACTACAGCTGAGAATGCACAGGAAAGACCCCTACCCACAGAGGAAGCGGCACCAGGCAGAGGCATATGGCTTGGGAGACTGTTTGGTGTGCCTGGAGGCCCCATGGAAAATGAAAGTGGAGCCCAGAAGTCCAGGTATTGCAGAGCTGTGTCTGTTGCATAACCCTCTGGCCCCATCTGATCCCCTGCTCCCCACCATCCTGCCCCTTGCCCATGGCTTTGTTTGAAACTCTAGTGACTCATCATGGCTTTAGGTAAGAGATCAGTCCAAGATGTTTTTTAACAGCTATGAACAACAACAAATTTGCCATGCCTGCTCTAGGACTTGACCTCTGAGGGGTCTTTAATGGCTTTAAGTATTCTTTTTTTTTTTT